ATCAGTCTCTAGCCAAACCAGTCAAGACGGCAATCAGTTTTCTTGTCTAGCAGGTTATGCTCAAGATCCCAATGAAGATCTTAATTCTGAAGATGAGATCTCAATAGCAGATTATTGGGACTCTCTCACAGGACATTTGAAAGACAGGATGAATCCACCCAAAAAGTAAAGATTCCTCTTATCCTGCCGACAGAAGAAACCAAAGAACTTTTCCCAAAATCTTTGATTCAATAGTATTTCCTTCATCAGATGTCAATTATCCATCAGATAAGGAGACAGCACTTAGTGGTGGGCCGACCGACTGCATTATTCTAGCACACGATCCCATGTACTATGCGGACTTCAAACTGATAATTTCAAGTTCATTTTATGTATAAATAGAGGGCAATGTTTCCCTTCAATGTATCTTTCAATTTTTCTTTTCTCTCTTTTGTAATATTTCTCTGTAATAGCTTGGACGATTAAATAAAGAAAGTTTTCTGTAAGTCTGTTATCTATCGATCCTTTGCACATATTATATTATTATAATATATTATTATAATAACAAACATATTATATTATTATTTGTGCATATATTTATATTATTATTGTGCATATATTTGATATATTTATTGTGCATATATATATGTAGAAGGTTTTAGAGTTTTTCATAGTTGTGTGGTGTAACATAGAGAGTGTTAAAATATTTTTGGAATATGAAGAGTTTTAAAATATTGTGTGGTGTAATAGTGAAGGTTGGAGAAAGTTTACGAGAAAAGATTACATATTTCTTGTATAGTTAATAAAAGTGTTCTCCTTGGTTATTGGTCCCTAGTGTGTGTGAATGCAAGAGAGAGCCACCAGAGCGGTGCTAAAACTCTAGGCCTGATAATACCTTATTTTCACTCAAGGATCCTGAAAATAGATTATGGAATTTGTTATGGTTATAAGTGTATGGAATACAGGAAAAATAGATTATGGAACAACAAACCTCCCTGTTACTTTGTCAATTTTTTTCACATCTATTTACACAACCGAATCCGTATAATTCTCAAATATCATATGTAAGTTGTCGAAATCATGATTAATTTACTAATCAAATTTCAATCCAACCAAATTTGGTATAAAAATTTAAGTTGACACAGAATACTCAAACAATGCAAAAACCATTCAGTTTTTCTCTTTGAAAAAAAAAAAAAAAAACAAAAAACAAATTTTTACTACATCTGATTTAAACTCAAAAAATTAAAAAAAAAATAAAAATTAAAAAAAAAAATTGAAAAACATATATAGAAGGTAATAGAGATGGGGTGGCTCAGATTGGGCTTTGATCAGACATTGGGCCACACCGCAACGGCTGCAACTGCAGTTGCCCAGTGAAAGAAAGAAACAATTTTTCACAGACCCTCAGAGTTGCCTCGCCAATATACGATCTAGCGTCCGATTTATACAAATACATAATAAAATATCATCACAGCCTCACCATACAGTTTTATAGAGAGAGAGATTTTTTTATATATATTTAAAAACAGAAATAGAAGTTATAGAAAAAAAAAAATTTGTTTTGCTGAAATAAAATGTAGATTACGTCGATTACCTCAAAATTATTTTAGATTGGGCTTTAATCAGACATTGTGCCACACCGCAATGGCTGCAACAACAGTTGCCCAGCAAAAGAAAGAAACAATCTTTCACAGACCCTCTGAGTTGCCTCGACAATATACGATCTAGCCTCCGATTTATACAAATACATAATAATATATCATCACAGCCTCACCATACAGTTTTAGAGAGAGAGAAAGAGAGATTCAATTTATTATTTATATATATATTTAGAAAAAAGAACAAGAAAAGAAAAGAAGGGTTGTTGATTTAACGGTCACTGGTTTGTTTCAAATCATCGGCTCTGTGGATGATATGATCATGTCAATCATCATCATTTGACAGAGGGGCAACCACCCTTTGAAACTCCCCATCTCTCTGTGCAGCGAGCCTCATTCTTAAACTAATGAGTTTTGAAACCCTTGCCCTTTACCTTTGCCCTCTATTTGAATTGCCCTTGGTTTGCTTTGTTCCCTGTTTTACCCCTTGTATTTGGTAGGTCCAGGTCAGGGAGCTGGGTGTTTCTGTCATTTTGCAAGTGGAAACCAGTCTGCTCGCTAAGAGCACCCGTATTGGACTCGCTGAACCCATTTCTGCGAGCCCAATCTTCTTATTCCGCCAATCTTGGGCCTGTGCATGCGGGCCCAAAACCATTTTTTTTTTATAAAAATTTGGCAAAAAAAAAAAATTTTGAGGTTAATTTGAGTACTGTGCAACACATCTAAGGGCCTGTTTGGCTAGAAAAATTATCAATTTTTTTTTTTTTTTTTTTCAGCATAACACTGAAATTAAGCTTAAATCTTACCGGAGCAGTGTGGAGGTGGAGCTTTGCATGGTGTCTCGAAAATTTAGTAAGAGCAAAGACGTCGATACCGCATTTGGCTAAGAGGGAGTGCCGATATCCGTTCTGTTATTAAAAATAATTTTAAAAAGTTAAATATAATAGTTAAAATGATATACGTAAAAAAAAGATTGAACAGAAAATTCATGTATTGGTCATATGAGATTAAGGCAAGGACGAGACGATGATAATTTTAGAGAAAAATTATCTTTTACCATCTAGCTAATGTCCTCGTAATCCATGTCATTATTGGAAGTTTTATTTTTACATAAACAATTGACATAGTTAACTAACTAGGTTGACGCATGCACTTTTTCCTTAGGCACTGTTTGTTTAGATAGAAATAAACAAGAAAAGAAGAGAAATAAAAAATGAAAGAAAAGTGATTTTATAGCAAGCATTTGGTTAGCATAAAAATTTATTCAGGAAAATTATACGAAAGTATTAATTTGTTAGTTTGAATAGTATGAAAATAAAAAGAAAGTAATTATGCATACCAAAATTATCCATATAATTTTAAATACTAAAAAATAAATGAATTTGTGTTCGATGATGTCTATTTTTAGCAAAGTTTTAGTAAAATGATGAATTATTAAATTTAATAATATAATTATTTATATTCATTTATATTGTTTAAATTAAAGCAATACTTCAAGACTTCTTAGTAGAAGTAGAACTAACTATTAATTTAAGAGAAACAAAGAAACTTAAAAATGCAAAAATAAAAAATTGGGCTATTGGGCTTTCAACCAGAGAGCACAAAAAGAGCCTAATGTATATTATTCTCTGTATATATAATAGAGGTGTGTGTATATATATATATTAGATACAGTGTATATACTTGGAACAAAAAGAAATCCTCCAAACAGTATTGCAAGAGAACATATTTAGAGAGAACTTGCCTCTTTGAAACTCAGTTAAAAAAAAAAAAGAAGTTGGTTATTTTACATGATTCCGTTGTTGGATAAAATAAGAACGTCAAATAAAAAATAGTTTTTACTAAAAAAATATTATTTTCGGGTGCAGGAAACTATATTTTCTATTAAGATTCTTTTTCTATCTATCCAAATTCTAAAAAAATTTAAAAATTTTCTCTGTACTTTCTTTTCTAGTTGATTCATCTAACCAAGCGAAGCCTTAGTTTCTTTCATTTCTCTCATTTCCAATGATTTTCTTTGTGCTCATAACACAATTGATCATTTATAAGTTCTCAAGGGTGCCAAGCATAAGGGTTTCTTAAAGATTAATCAAATATTAGTTGTCAAACAGATATCTTTTTGTTATTACCATCTTTTGAGATGTTGGGTTGCGTGAAATTAGTTTCTTGAAAAAAAAAAAAAAAAAAAAAATTAATCCAAATTTTAAACAAATTTTTTTTTTGCCAATCCAAAACTCCAATTTCATCGAAGTAATATAGCCATATTTTAATCACTCATTACTTAATTGTCAATAAAAATGTGTGTTTTTTTTTTGGAGTTGCACAAGTACTCACACATTTAACAAATTGCCCAGTACAGGGCTCCAACAGCCCCTCATGTCATACCATTAGGCTCATGGTGAGTTCATGTTTTTCGCCTTAAAAAATAATAATAATAATAATAATAATAATAATAATAAATAAAAAAAGAGCCGTTGAGAAGAAAGAGGTTTCAAATGTCTTAACTCACCCATTCGAATAGAGAGGATTGACTGTACATTCGAATTATCTCAAATACTTTCACAAATTGCAAAATTTTCCTTTTTGAATCAAGCATAAAACAACAACTAAGACAACTGACCTAGTGGTATTTTATTCCTTTTTAAGCAGAAAGTAGAGCATTCAGGTCCCTTGAGAGTTTATTTGCCAAGAAAAAATTTTAAAGTAAAAAATTAAAAATAAAATTAAAAATTAAAAATAAAATAAAATAATAAAATAAAATAAAATAACACTAAGGTAACACTGGTCAACCTTCTTTCATACCAAACAACTTTCTATTTTCTGAAGAATTGGAGTTGCCTATCTTTAAGATTTCCATTCAAAAGTTCTCATGTGTCTCCACACTCCTTCAAGGCCTCCAAAAACTAAATGTTGTTTTAAATGAACTGAACATAGATTGGTTGGTTCCTTCGAGTCCCTAAACTGGATCAACTTCTAACCTGATCAGACAGTCCTGAACCTAATCAAGTTTCACAGTTTTCCAAGCAGCCATAACCAAAAACTTGAATTTGTTCATGGAAAGACCTACTCCACAGACTAGAAACACGCTATTACTCCAGCCTAACATTCAGTCAAATCCTATTAAATGACCTAAAATAAACACAGAGCAAGAACAAGTTGTCAGAAATGCTGTACATTGTTTGTTTTTCTAAGTTATTTTTTAGCTCGGGATAAAATTCTCTATTTGTTCGTATCTCGAATATTGTTACAAGAATCCTTCTCTTGAACAGACTGAAATTGGCAACTGCTAGACTTCCAAATCCGTAAAAGGTTTACCTGGGCAATGTATCCAACAAGCGAAATCATATGTAGAATAGACATTGGCAGAGTATGCGCGGAATTTATGGACTCCTTTCTGCACCTAGTTACAAGTAACAAACATGATTGATAAGATTAGACATAACTATTAGCAAAATTTCAATCTTATTGTTCTACAAAGAGAAGAAGAACATAGGTGAGAAAACCGATTCCCTCATCCCTCACCAACCCCAGAAACAAAGGCCAACAAAGAAAAAGACACATTTGTACCTTACTCTACACAATTGAATTACCTCCCTAGTATACAAGTCAGATTTCCTTTCCCCTACATTCATGCATACCCTAGGTAAATAAACCGTTTGTATTCTTGATCAATATCTTTTCAGCAGATTTCTAAGGCGTACCAAGCACCAGGTTTTTAAAAGAGTTTTATACTTCTTCCAGCCATTAAAGTACCTCCCAATCACCTTCTTATAACTAGGTCTCTGCTGCACAGAATTCCAATACTCAGCAATATTTGGCCGGCTATTAATATACTCATCTTCCAAATTCAAGATTACTAATCGAGCCAGCACAGGAATGAACATCACATCTGCCATGGTGAACTCTTCCCCAACCAAATATGATGTTTCACCAAGTCTTGTTTCCACATCATCAAGAAGCCTTACCAGGTGTTCCTTGCTTCGTTTCAGAACCTCTGGGTTTCTCAACTTCTCTTCTATCTCATATTCATCTCTTAGCTTACGGTGGTAAGCACTTGCTAGATCAGGAGACTCAGCCATCCGAGCAATTACCACTCGCCTTATGAATTTGGAAATGAAAATACGATACTTGTCAGGGGTGTGTGAGAGCGTGAAGAACTTGGGGTTCCAGTCTTGTATCTTATTCATCCATTCCACAACTTCTCCGCTACTAAGGGGGATGTTATTGCCGCCCGAAGAGACAACTGCAATTCTTTCTATATACCTGTAAAATTCTAAATAACTTTAGATTTTTCCTTTGTCAACTGTTAAAAGGGTGTTTGTAAGCAATTTCAAGAATGTATGGCTTCTTACACCCCCTTGAAAAAAGTTGGGGTTATAAACTTCTGCTTACAGTTCTATGACATTTTTTGTTTCGCTTTCATGCACATTTCTAAATCATGCAAATTATAATAAACTCAATGTCATCATTAAAACTAATTCTAATAGAGTAGAGAGCATTTGCTTATGTAGAAATACTACTTAAGGCCAAAATTTTGGGAGTTCAAAAGAATATATTGAATTGAAGCTTATTACATATTTCCATAACTTACTATTTTTTTCTAAAAGATATTAAATAAGGTAATAGAGATCATTATTAGTGGCCATCCACCGGCCACTCAAGTTTAAAGTTGCTTCTGAGCACAGATAAAATTCTAGAGAAAAGAAACAAATGAAGCTAAGTAGAGGAGACGTACTGGATTATATCTATTGTGTTGAATATTATATGGGAACCATTCTGGAAAACGGGAAGTTTAGCAGTTGGGTTCATCCGGAAGAATGACAAGTTCATGTTCTTGCCCGTGATAGGATTGACATGGTACGACGTATAATCAATGCCCCTTTCTTCCAAAGCAAGCCTCACCTTTTGGCTGTCCAGGGAATATGGGTGATGATAAAGCTGCATAGTTTTAGTAACATGAACTCTCGAGATATATTACTGGCAGTGAATCAAATTCCAAGCTCTAGCAGATGGGGATCCATAAAAGAGAATATGTTGGGTCAGCACCTGAATGGAACAGAAGGGGCTGATAAGACTTCTATGTTATCAAATCCAATTCGTAATAAATAACTTAAACACCATGCATGTGTGAGGTTGCTGGCTAAGCCAAGAGCACAAAAGACAATTAATGATGAAAGAGAGAGAGAGAGATAAGAGGCTGAATTTCAACGGTATTAAATAATGCAGAAGAGGTAAACTAGAAAAACTAGTGGCCACAGTAACCCTGCTACTTGTGAACAGTAACCACTCGGCACTACAACATTGTATTAAAAAAAAATATTACAATTAGAAATCACCACTACAAATTCTGTTGCTGTCATATTGAACATCAAAAATCATTACATACAAATACTAATTAATAATAATACTGAAAAAGAGAAAAAAAGGAACAATTATATACTTGTGTGCTGCCAATCCACAGGTTGTATCCAAGTTGATCTTTGCAAGAGAGACAGATACATGTGTACAGAGAGCAAGAAAGAGGAAGAAGGAATCTAGAGAGAAATCTGCTCATATGTGATTTAATACTTCATCTAAGAAGCACGGACACAGACACAGACACAGACACAGGACACGGGACACGGATACAACACAACACGGGCACGGCGACATGGCAAATCCTAAAAAATTAGGACACGGATACGGCGAGGACACAGCGAATAATATATATATATATATATATATATATATATATATATATATTTATATATGCGATGTAGTACTTTAAAAATCAATTGTTTTACTATTTTTCATCAACCTCACAATGAAAAAAATACACAAGTCATAACTAATGAACTATAAGAGAACAAAGTCACTAAATCATAAACCAAATAAAAAACAAGACATTTGAATGATAACTTTTTATCATTTAATCATCATTGCAACTTTACTCCAAATACAATAGCATACTCATAACATTTGTGATTGTTTAACCATAGTTACAGCAGTCAGCAAAAGAAAGAACAGCAGTCAACGACTCAGTAAAGAAAGAATGAAATAAATTCATATGTTTTACAAGTCAGTAAGTCACATACTCACAGCAGCTGAAATTAAATCAAGAATTAATTCATATTTCATCACAAGTCACGTGCAACAGCTGAAATTATATCAAGAATGAAGAAGAGGAAAACAAATTCATCAAAAAAAGAGGAAAATGAAAAAAAAAAAACAAAAAAAAAAGACACGTGTGTCGGACCCCCCAAATAGGACACACGGACACACTGCAATGGCGTGTCTGCGCAGTGTCCGAAAATTCCAAAAAAAAAAAATCCCAGACACAGATTTTGGCACACGTGTCAGACACAGATTCTTCGCCATTTTAGGCATGTCGGTACCAGATCCGCTTAAGCTGAAGTGCACTGTGGTTCCAACAGGGTGAGCCTGCTATAATGTGATCGAAGGACACAGGTTCAAAATATAGATCCTAATAGTCATAATTCTCATCAAGCAAACAAATTTCCTGGGATAACATTAACTCAATTAAATTGAAACAAAGTTTCAATAATGCCCAAAGGATAATATAATTTCTGGTGTTATAAATGATAACAATAGATGTGAGAGACTCAGTTCTTTCTATATGTCACCAACCATATCCCTTATTAATTGTTTCTTTTTTTCAAATGAAGTTCCCACATTCAAGTCAAACAACTATAAGGTTTTTTTGAGGTGCCAGCTAATTTGGAAGAGAGGGAATCTGAAGGTATAATTTTTGCCTTTCCACTAAATTGTTGCATGGATACCAACCTAGAGTGAAGCATTGACATATGGAGACGTATAGGGTAAATCACGGTTGTCAAAATCGCGATCCTGGATTGTAGAATCGCACGATTCTACAATCCCACCAACCCAAAATGAGTCCACTCGTATAGAAATCATTCCCCTGTGCAGAATCGTAGTAGAATCGTGTAGAATCGTAGTAGAATCGCAAGATTCTACAAGATTCTGACATTTTTTTGTTTGGGCTTACTTTTTTGTTGTCCTAGTTCACTTCTTATAAGTGTTGGGTTCCCTAAATAAGAAAGGTCCACAGTTTTGGGGCCCAAAAAAAGTCCATATAAATAAGAAAAAAACACTATTTAGCCCTAATCCCCAATTTTTTTTTTTTTTTTTTCTTTTTTTTTTAAGCATGAAGAATGGACTCTTTAATTCGGTTCTGTTCTTTACTTCTTTACATTATGTTTTGTAACTATGTTTAGTTCATTTTCTATTTTATTTGTGTTCTCTTCTTTTAAGGGAGCTTATTGGAAGTTTGGATTAGGATTTGGGATTTGTGAACTTATGTTATGGATTTGTATTCAAACCTTCATCTTCTCACACACAACTTCACAACTTACAAATTGCATAGTTGTCAAGAGAGCTCTACCTTTTGAGCTACATTCTCTTTTATATTATATTTGAACTTTCGAATGGTACATTTTTTTTTTTTTTTTGGGCCTTATTCTTGCTATATTTTACACATTATATTGTTTAAGAAGTTAGTTTGAATTATTTTTTTTACTAGTTGGTAGAATCTTACGATTCTCGTTCCGATTCTACGGAACCCAAAACGATTCTACATAGAATCCTGATTTTAACAACCTTGGGGTAAATCAGTCCCCTCCAGACTTGAAGCCTTTGTGGATCATCACTTAGGACGATTAAGCTAACTCATTTAGTGGGTTTCTTTCTTCTTCACAAATTCAAAACTAATATATGATATGATTTTGAGAACTCTCCTCTGTGAGCATTAATCACTCACCTTTAAGACCACAAATTATGGCTAGTGACCACATACTGCTATTTTATTCAAAAAGAGGAATGACTTGTCAAAAAAAATCAAATAGAGGAATGGCCTAGGTAGTGATTGGATTCACGATTCTTCTCAGGTTCATATAGTGGGTATGAGCAAAAAAAGAAAAAGGAAATGAGTGTTTCTTAATCAGGAGCTTTGTAAAGCATTAAAAGTACAATCTAAGATAAATTTAAGGAGAGCTTCGCAGTGCAGACCGTTGCTTAACAAAATATGTGATGGTGACCACTCATCTTCAAGGGTCCTTTTTGGTCAGTAGGACTTAGGTTGGCAAGTTTCATAGAACAAAACTGGAGTCTATAACTTTTGTTTTAATTTCTAATTTAGATTAGAAATTTTTAGCGTTTGTTTTAATTTCTAATTTAGATTAGAAAATTTTAGCGTTAGTTGTCACCTCCTACTCATGGTTGAAGAAGGAAATTGAAGCAACAGTCAAGTATATATGTGTAACCTTCTTCCACAAGAATTAAAAGGTAAATTGACACATTAATGCACTCACCAGATTAGGTTAGGGTTCATGCATAGATTATATGTTTCAAAGTCTCAAAATATGCATAAAGGTATTTTTGGAAACTTTTTATTCTAACAGTAAACTTTGATTTATGGAGAACCACTGGAGTGGCATCAAATGATCAAACACCATGAAAAGTCAGTATTCTTTTAGAATTAAAAACACAACCAACCCAATTCTCGTTATACTTATATTTTGCCTACAAATATACCAGGGTAGGACAGAATACAACACAACTCATAAATCTAGGGGACCTGCAGAGAGAGCTTAATTGTAATTTCTAGAGTTGCATTATTATTATTATTATTTTTTCTTACATCATTCTTAGAATTGATGAGTGTTCTTCATTGTGTGTCAACATCTATCGATACAACAACAGAAGAGTTCAACATAATATTCAATCCATTCGGTCAGAGATTGAACTGGACGACTAGTGGCTAAGACTAGTAGCAGTGGTGGAGAAGCAGATTCATGAGAAGCAAAAACTGCTGACTAGCAGATTGTGTGCCTGGAGACTCTAGGAAAGTTTGGGAATGGATCTGTGTCAAGGTAACTAGGGTTTCCTAGAATATTAGGAATCAGTCAACCTGGGTTGTAACCCTTCTTTCTCATAGTAGATTCAGTTTTCTAGGATTAGGTGATTTTCCCATTTGAGTTTTCCACATAAAATTCTCTGTGTTCATTATTTTTATTGCTTTATTTGTTTATTATTGCATGCATGAAGGATAGATTGAGTGATTTTAATTTTCTGTTATGAATTGAATTTCAAAGAGGGCAGCCCTTGGCGCAACGGTAAGGTTGCTCCATTGTGACCTAGACGTCACAGATTCAAAAAGGGAAGCAGCCTCTTTGTATGCTGAGGTAAGACTGCATACATCTAATCATCCCTAGACCTGCAATGGTGGGAACCTCGTGCACTACGCTGGCCCTTTTTCTTTTAATTGAAAAGGTTTTGTTAGCTGTTGAAAATGGTTGGGCTCTTCCTACTAAAGATGGAATCCAAAATCCCATGATAGATTAAATATAGGAGGAATTTTGCAGAGGCAAATTATAAAACTAAAGCTTTAAACACTATCTTTGCTGATGAGACCCCTACCAGATTTAGTAGAATTACGAAGTGCACTATTGCCAAGGAAATTTGGCAAATTTTAAGAAAAGTACACGTAAGGCACTACCCCTGCTCAAAATTTCTATACTTCAATGCTGACCAATAAGTTTAAAAATCTTACGATCAAAGAACAAGAAACGTTTGATGCATACTATATTAAGATCAATGACATTGCTAATGGTAGAACTATGTTAGGCGAAGCTATTCCAGAAATCAAGGCGGTCAGAAAAATTCTCAAGTCTCTACGTCAACGATTCAACCTATGGTCACTGTCATAGAAGAAAGCAAAGACAGAGATAATATTTAACGTAGTTGGTTCACTAAGCTTCTCTCCTCCTGCAAAGAGCCAGGGAATAGCACTTAAAGCAATAAGGGAAAAGTCTAGTGAAAACTCAAGTAGTGAGACTGAGGAAGAGATAGGTGCACTTACTAGAAAGTTAAAAAAATGAAAAAATCAAAATTTAATGCCAAATCTAGTAAGAAAGGAATTTAAGAAGATACTAAGAAAGATAAGAAGAAACATTCTAAAGGAGTCAGTTGGTGGAATTGCAGTGAGAAAGGGCATGTTCTAGGTGAGTGTCCTAAAAAGTCTAAAGGAAATAGGAAAAACAAAAAGGAAGGCCAAAGGCCACTCTTTGATTCCTCTAAATCGAAGAACGATAATTCTTCTTGTGAGAGTGATAAGGTGTCACAAGTTGCTTTGGTAGCAATTGTTGATCCTCCGAATACCTGGAGAGAAAAACTAGTGATCTAGAGAATGAAACCACATGGTTTTACTGGGAGTGAGTACGAAAAGGATGATGAAGATACTAATAAACTTCAGTCAGCCTTCAATGATTTATCTGAGAAAACAATTCAAGCAAAGTTAAATAAAACCTTGGAAGGATAAAATTAAAAAACTTGAAAACACATTCGAAGAGAATAAGAAAGAGAAGGCTAAGAATTTCTCTTTAATTAATGAGCTTAAGAATGAGAAAAATAACATGCTTAATAAGATAAAATTCTTTGAACAAAAAGCTAGTGAAGCTTTAAATCTTAAATCAGTGTATTTGAAGGAAATTGAAGACTTAGAGAAAGAGTTAAAGAATCTAAAGATATAACTTCTAAGTTGACAGATAGTATACAAAATTTGGATAAGCTACTCACTATAGGAAAGTCTTCGAGTGACAAAGCTGGTTTAAGGTAACCACATGCTTCCACTTCTAAAGTTGTTTTACCCACTCCCCTGGCATTAGTAAACCAAAACAAGTTTCTAATCCACCTCCGAAGAATGAAAACAAGCAATCTAGAACTCCCCAAATTCTTCCTAAAAATAACGAGAAGAAAGTTGTTCACACTCAAAGAAAATTTAATCTCCCACTTTATACTGTTCTTATTGCGATAAAATAGGATTTATTGCAATCAGCGTATGAGAATGTTGAAAATAAATGATATTGCAACAATATGAAATATCATAACACACAAAACAATGGTAATCAAAGAAGGGTAAACAATAAGAAGAATGGTAGGAAGAACAAGAAGAAGAAGAATCAAGGTAATAAGTCTCCTAAAAATACTCAAAAATCTAAATAATACTTCTTCTTTGAAAGTTTATTCTGTCTGGATGAGTAAGGAAGACTTGAAGAGTTTTATTAAAATTCCTTTAGATTCCTTGGCATCAAAACCCTGAAAAATTAGTGATTTATGAAGTAAGGAACATAGCCTTAGGATAATTACATTGCAAATTATTAAAACCTACGACTATATGATGATATATGTATTTATTACTTTAGTGTACTTATATTTATTTAGCATTAGTTTAATAATGCCTTATTTCATGAGAATCATGATAAAGGTTTAAATCAATTTTAAACATGTAGGACACAAAATTTCTAGATTGAAGTCTAGATAATTATAAAAGTTTAATAATTTTGAAGTAAAAGTTGGTTTATTTACTTTTGGTTAGTGGTTGATTCAATGAATCATTCACAAACACACTAACTCACACCCAAATGTACACATGAATAATGTGTGACTTAAACTTCAATAAAGATTAACTCATCGAATTAGAAGGCTTTTGATATGTGTTGAGTATAAAAATATATAAAAAAATGTTGTGTATATATATAAAGGCATGTTTTTCATGAAAAGAGCTACCTATGGGATTTGCGCGGCTCTCTATCAAAGCCTCGAGTTCCAGACCATACTTTCAGGTCCAAATTCTAAATAACTTGAGATGAAGTCTTACAAGAGAAACGAGATCTCATGTTTGGAAAATGATCCATTCAATATACACACAATTCCTAAATATCTGTAACTTCAATTTGGAGACGAAACCTCTCACCTCTTGCATCATATCACTATCTTCGATGTTTTCCTAATAATTTTTTAAATATTCTTAGTTGTTTAGTAAGAAAATCGTTATAATGCTTTTTTTTATACACACGGCAATAACTGACATAAAAGGAAAGAAGATTACCAGATGAAGTAACAAAAATTAAACCAAGAATAGAATCTATGTTGCTCGTGGAGTAACTCTGCGGGTAACAGGTCAAGAACAAGATTTCATAAGTACCAAAAAATCAACAAAAAAGACCAGTGAACAAATACCTTTTGCCATCTATCAGATTATCTGAGTTCAATCAAGTCAAAACCATTTAAGACATAGTTGGATTGTGAGGTTTCAAGAATGCTGAGCAAAAATTAGAACACACAGATTCATGATGACAATCTTTTATCTGCATAACAACAATACAGTGAAGTATTTATTGGAAAATAGAGTAGACAACAAGAGAAAAATCTGAGACACGTGTATAGGATACATCTTAATTTTTAGAAAGCAAGTGATACAAATAAAAGGAACCCAAACAGCCACTTCCCAGAAATGGACAATATTGTCTACTATTGAAGGATTTAAATATTAAAGTGGCACCCTCTCTAACAGCTTAAGCTTTTAGAGTAGATGGTTGTTAACATGGTATCAGAGCTAAAGGTCTCGTGTTCAAACCTCACTGTCACCCTAATTAAAAAACACTACAACTTAGCATTCAGAAACCTAAATGCTATCCCGGAATATACTAGTGAACTTAGGAAAAACAAAAAACTCATAAAATGTGAGCCAAAAAATAGGCTTGAAATATCTGTTCAAGATGGAAATCATCCAAATGTCATAGGACACGTTCAAAGTGGCAAAATCCAATCTATGATCCTAGAAAAGGAAAATTTGTTGTCAGTTTCTTCAGAAATAGCATACTCACACTCTAAAATCACACTAACTGCTGCTAATTCACCGCATAAAACTTGCCAAAGTGAATTACTGATTAATCGATATCAACCACTGTCTTCTTCCCTTACTTAAAGATAAAACCACTTTAACTCCACTTTTTCATAGTTCTTGTAAAATTTATAAGAACCAAAAAAGAGATAACATGCTAATGCTGATCCATCCTCATCTTTACTTTTGCAGAAAAGGTTAAACGTAAAGTTCTTGTGCAGAAAAGGTTAAACACAAGGCTGATAATATTAATGATCAATCGGTTGTTACTTGGCAGTAAAGGCCTAAGAAATGACATGGCAATCAAATAGGTATCTTTTACACCCCTTGACGAGTGTAGAAAATCACTTGAAGAATTGCTTTCTAGTGTCAATTATATCTTCAAGTTGCACAAGTGAATGGGTCCAGAGTAAGTGTGTGTTAATGTGTGAATGTTTTTTCAACAACGTAGCTCCATAAAAAATTAAAATTAAAATTAAAAAAGAGAGAAAATGAGAAGGAATAAAACATCATAACAAGAGACTAACACTTGCTTTTATAGAATAATTCAACTTGTTACAACCATCACTTGAACCCAATCAAAAAGTGAACTTTTAAACACCAATAAGAATTTAATAAGCAAACATACAAACCACAATGTAACTCGGATTACAATTTTAAGACCATATTACTCCAAAACCCAAAATAACAGTTAATTGCTCTCAGAATTTGCAACCAGATCTCCCAGAAACCCTCAATATCACAAAGGTTCAAGAATCACAGTCAAATCTAACGACACAATCTACCCATTTTGCAGAAGTAATTCAACCCAACATCTATGATCCAACGAACTAATCATCACATTATAAACTACTTGGTTCAGAGAAAGTAATTAATCAAAGAGATGTCGATTAAAGCATAGTTAATTAAAATTAAGAAGAAATTTCCAGGAGGCTTACCAGAAAATGGGAGGTTAGAATTGGGTTTTTTTCTGTTTTCCTGGGATTTGTGGGTTTTCGGAGATTTGGGTGACGCAAGACAGAATAAAGCAAACCTTTTGGTGGACAACGATGAAAAAAGTTTTACTGTATAATTTATGTGCATTGTGTGTGAGAGAGAGAGGGGAATCCAGAAAAGGTGAACTCCTCTAAAATGGTACGTCAAACAGCATGTAGAAGCACTAGCTCGAGTGCAAAGACTGATTATATTTGCCGGCTGCAACTTACACGTGTCCATGTCAGAAAACTTCTGCCAATAGGAGCAAGATTTTCGAAGCAAATATTTAAAATTTAGAAACTTAACCGTCTAATCAATAGGGATAGAAAATAATAATACAAATAAAAAGGATAACAGCATTCCACAACTAAATAACTAAAATCAATGTGAATTAAAATAATACATAGTAATGAAATTTGATAAAGAAGAGATGGTATCAGGTTAAGTTCATGTGAAGATGAATCATTCACTAATCACATCATATGATTAGTCTAAACTTTGGCATTGCTCTTTGTCTCAGTTAAATGCTAATGCTGATCCAACCTCGTCTTTACTTTTGCAGAAAAGGTTAAACGCAAGGCTGATAATATTAAAGATCAATCGGTGGTTACTTGGCAGTTAAGGCCTAAGAAATGACACACCAATCAAATGGGTATCTTTTGTTAGTATTTCTCAAATTAATCATAGTGCTTTTGTTCGAGGTAGAGTTATGAAGAGATCCTTGTTCGAGGTGGAGCTATGGAGAAGCACGTAAAGATTGAATTTTAAGCCAAGGTGGAGATTGTTGGGTTTGTGACTCAAAATTTGTGTGTAGAAAATTGGTTTCCTTTTTCATTTTGGAAGGTTAAAATTTGTGGAAGAAATTATATCCCATTAAGTTTCTATTTTAGAGTTGAGATTGATATGGTAACTCCTTGTATGCAAGTTGTGGAATACTTATTCAACAAGGAATTGGGTTAGAAGACTCTATAAATAGAGATGGGTATGAGAGGTTTAGAAAGAGAGAAGGGAGAGAAAGAAAATATGTAAGGGGTTTAAGGGTGAGTGTTATGAGGAGAGGGAAGAGTATATATAATTCCTGAGTGTATACATGTAGCCTCAAAAGAGATGATGAGTGAGTGAGTGGGATTTTGACATGTGGTTGTATATTCTCTTCCTTGATTCATAATAGTGAAATCTCTCTCTCCCATGGACGTAACCTAGAGTTGAGTGAACCATGTAAAATATTGGGTTGTGTGTTGATGTGTATGATTGTTATCTCTATATATGCTTATGCTAATGTGATGTGATGATGCTTCCGCTGTGTGTGATGAAGGAGGGATTTAAATCTTAACAACAGCCACCCGTTGAGTCCGTTGAGTGGGTTGAAGGGACTTAATTTTCCCCAACATCTTTTACACCCCTTGACGAGTGTAGAAAATCACTTGAAGAATTGCTTTCTAGTGTCAATTATATCTTCAAGTTGCCCGAGTGAATAGGTCCAGAGTAAGTGTGTGCGCTAATGTGTTTAAAAAAAAAAAATGAGACTAACACTTTTTTTTATTTTAGCCAAATCAACTGCAAATAGGAATGGTAAATAACAAAATAATTCAACTTGTTACAAACATCACTTGAACCCAATCAAAAAGTGAACTTTTAAACACCAAAAAGAATTTAAAAAGCAAATATACAAGCCACAATGTAACTCAGATTACAATTTTAAGACTATATTACTCCAAAACCCAATATAGCAGTTAATTGCTCTCGGAATTTGCAACCAAAACTCCCAGGAACTCCCAATATCACAAACATTCAGAATCACACTTAAACCTAACAACATGATCTACCCAATTTGCAGAAGTAATTCAACGTAACATCTATGATCCAACAAACTAAACAACACATTATAAACTACGTGAATAAAGTAAAAAATTCTATAATCAAAGATATGTCGATTAAAGCATATTTAATTAAAATTAAGAAGAAATTTCCAGGAGGGCTTACCAGAAAATGAGAGGTTAGAACTGGGGTTTTCTTTCTGTTTACTGAGATTTGTGGGTTTTCGGAGATTTGATAGACGCAGGAAAGAATAAAGCAAACCTTTCAGTGGACGACGATGAAAAAGGTTTTACTGTATAAATTATGTGCGTTTGTGTGTGTGGGGGAGAGAAAGAAGAATCCAGAAAAGGTGAACTACTTTCAAAATGGTAAGTCCAAATAGCATGTAGAAGCACTCGCTCGAGTGCAAAACTGAACATACTCGCCGACTGCAATTTACACGTGTCCATGTCAGAATACTTCTGCCAATAGGGGAAAGATTTTCGAAACACTTAGAAAAAATATTTAAAAACTTAACTGTCTAATCAATAGGGATAAAAAAATAAGGACTAATTTCAAAAAAACCCACTATTTTCAAATTTTAATCATAAATCTCCAATCTATTTTAAAAAATCCATCAGAGCATTTCCAGTGATATGTTAAAAAATATTTCTAGCGATATGTTAAAAAATATTTTGTGTAAAATATACACTGCTACATAAGAATTGTAAATTTTTTTCATCTCCAACGGTCTATTAGTATACACTGCCACATCAACAATGTGTAAATGGGTTGTGTATTAATACACAACCCTTTTACACGGCCACGTAAGAATATTTTCTCTTTCTTCCCCCTTTCCGACCCGTGTTTCTCTTTCTTCTCTCTCATTCCTTCATGCCTCTTTGTTTCCCACTTTTGTAAAGCACCATAGAGAAAAATCTGCAACTGGCGACAAGGTAAGAACTGCTTGAACATCTTTTATTTATTTATTTATTTATTTATTGATAATAAACATAGTTTGATTTGTCACTTTGTTTAATTTTATCTTCTGCAATCATAAATTCTAGGGTTTTTTTAATTTTTAGATATATATTTTAATCACGTTTTATATAATTGTTGTCAATCGCAGTTATACAAATTATTTTCTTTTTTCTTTCTTGGTGATTTAGTCAATTAAACCCTAAATCGTATGCTGGTTGTAAGTCACACCCAACTCAAAACTAAAACCAATAGCAATGCCCCTCAACACCATCTCCAGCATCGCTGCCCTATACTATGTCCTTAACGGTGCCCGCAGGCTATTAAAGGCCGGTCTAATGCTTCCATTCTTCTCCTCTTTCTCGTGCGATAAACTTGATGCCCTTAGCGCCATTGGGGATACCGGAATTGTGAGTCAATGGCAAATCAAGGATTTTTATGCCAATCCTTGTTGGAATCATTGTTTCTTAGCACCAAATTTGCTTGGTAGGAGGTGGTAATTTTGCATAGTACATTCAAGTTTGGGTGGATTTTGAGAGGGCATAGTAAATGTATGATGGTATTTTTAGGTGGGAAGGAAGTGGATGAAGGCGGTTGTTCAACTCTGTGGGTGTCTTCTTTTGGGCTACCTAGTGCTGAATTGTTGGTGATAGTACTAGTTTTGGGTTTGGTTTTGTGACTCCAAATTTGGGGTTACAATTTTTTTTTGTTAAATCTGCAAATATGAGGCGCTTTTCTAATGGTTTGTCATCTAAAGGTACGCTTTTTGTTTGTTTGTATATGTGGTGTGTTTCTGGTTTTGTTTCATTTTCTCGGTACAACTTATTTTTTCCTTTCTGTAGTAAAAATAGAGTATGACTTCTTGTCGGGTGACTTCATTTCATGAGTCAGGTCGCATGGATGTCATTGTTTGCACTTTATTTTCCTGGGTTGCTGTCTTTTTCATTTATATTCTGGGATTAGAGTAAATATGTAGCACTTAATTCAGCTGCAAGAGTTAATTGTTTTAGCTTATTGCTCTAAACTGAATTGTTGGAGTGAATTCACACTATGTTTTTGGGATCTGAGACATCATTAGCAGCACTGTATTTGGTCGACTAATGCCATTCGTGAACACCCAAATTGTTGTAGTGAATGTGCGGTTCAAGAAAAGCCTTTTGGGTCAAATTTAAATTTATAAAAACCACTACCAACACTACTACTAACGTAGCAAGAGTGAGTAGGGATCGTCCCAAGGGACTGTGAGGATCGAACAATGTCGTGGAATCACAATTAGGGCTAGTAGGTCGAGTGATCAAACAATTGGTTGGTTGGTTGATTAAAGAGCAACTAAATTAAACTAAGTAATAGCAAAAGAGTGCAGTTAAGAGTAAGTAAGAGAGAGAGAGAGAGATCTTGGGGTTTAGAGATCACCACCAAGCAATGCATTTCTATATCATTGACAAGTGATTAATGAGGGCAAATAATGGGTTACAATATTGGTGTGTGTGTATTTGGTTGATTCAACAAGCAAGAATGACTAGTTAACCATGTATTGTCTAAACATCATGTGAAAGGTACAATATATCTAAGCTATGAAGCATATATTGTCTAAACAATATATGAAAGGCACAATAAATTAAAACAAGTCATTAATCATTTCATTAAGCTCACAATCCAAATACAACACAAGGATAGAGACATATGCTAATTGCATTCAAAAGCTTGGATCATCAAACAACAAGCATAGATTGTCCTCCCATTTAACACTACACTACAACTACACTACATCTACACTACTAGCATGAAAATAAACTAGGGGAGAGGCACAATCCATCAAGAGATAAGCATGAACCATCAAGAGAATCACAAAAGTATTCTTTTAAGTACAATGTTTTGACAATCTCTAAATTTATAGCATCAATACACATAGACATGCATCAATAACACAAAATCTAGAGATAAACACATGAACATCTATTCTAGCATACATAGACATATGCATAGAATGAAATGACCAATTGGAAGCATTAAACTACATAAATCATTGAATAAACAAGATATATATATATCAAAGTGTCAAAACATCAATTACAACACTAATCCCTCAATAATATACAAGATTAAGATATAGAAAGCATGCTTGGGGCTAACTCTAGCCCCAAGAGGATGTCTAGTCACTCATGGTGATGATGCTCCAACCCTCAAGGGCTAACTCCATGGTTAAAATCTGCTCCTTCTTGATGAAGAGTCTCCAATGGTGTCTCTAGCCTCCTCCTCCTCTAAACTTCCTCTCCAAGAGATGATATGAAAATAATGTTGGCTCCCTCTTGAAAAAACAATCCTTATCCTTATATAGGTAGGTCAAAATGACACCCAAAATGAGCTGGGGTCGTACACACAATATTCCCTAATGATTGGATAAAGGACAACTTTCAATAAGATGAAATTTTAACTTTTTCGCACTGGAGGAAGTTCGATCGATCGAAAGTAAGTGAGATCGATCGAAAGTAAGTGAGATCGATTGAACTTAGGCTGGATCGATCCAACTGGCTGAGCTTTTTGGAAAAAGACAAATCCGTGATATTTATGAGAGATATTTATAGGAAAGGACAAAAGTGGTTAGTGGGTGGTACAGCTGTGGATAGGATCAATCATTTGAATAAGGACAAAAGTGTTCGATCGATCGAAGGATGGTGTTGGATCGATCGAACTTTTGGAACTTTATGCTTTTGGGTCAAGGCTTGGATCTATCTTGAAGTGCTGAGATCGATCATTGTTTGATTGATTGAACCTTGAACTTGGATCAATCGAACTTTGCTGCTTGCCTCCTTTGGCTTTATTTGCTTCATTCTTTCTCCACTTTGCTATTTTCTTTGATTAATCCCAGAATTGCTTCAATTAAGCTCTTATTTGGCTGAGTTAGCTTATTTTCGGGATAAGTGCCAGAAAATGGAAATAATACGAAATCAATCTAAAACGGTAAAGTAAGACAGATAAAGGTACTAGAATGCCTAAGCTTAAGGGGTTTAAATACGCACTTTTCAGTGCTCATCGGTATTTCTTAGGTTTCTGTCTTTTTTTCTGGTTCTGGGTTTTGTTATGTCACCTTCCCTTCATTCAGGTTCAGAACATTTAAATTTCATATGTTCATGGTCGCCTGGAAGTTTAGGGATTATATTCTTTTCTCTTAACTTTGGCAATCTATTTATTTTCTATGAGATACATTATTGTGATAATCTCCTTAATGTTATTTCATGTGATGTATCTTATAGGTGTTGTGATTAATATCCATGGATTCTCAATCATCCCAATCCGAACAAACATCCCAAGCTGAACAAACATCCCAATTCCAACAAGCATACACATTCTCACCATCATCCCAATCTAAAAAAACTCCTGAATTTCCACAAGCACACCCATTTTCATCAGCATACCCATCTCAATCCCTATCTCAAAAATCATACTCGTTCCAATATGAACCCCAATTGCAACAATCATACCCATATTGTTTCCCATCTTCACCACAATTGTCACAAGCATACCCATTCTCATATGCACCCCACATTCAATTCCAACAACCACCATCTGAAGCACCATGCCAATCTAAAAAAACTTCAAACTCTAAGAAGGCCCAAAAGGTTAGTAAAAAGGGACGGATGAGAAATTTTACTTCCACGGAAGATGAGGCACTTGCAAGAGCTTGGGTAGCAGTATCGGGAGATGGAATTGTTGGTAATAGCCAATCTAGAAATAATTTATGGATTCGAATTTACAACACATTTAACGAACTTATGTCCATCACAACTCCGGCCGAAAATTCTAATAGAAATCCAAATTCATTGTCATGTCATTGGCATATCATACACCGTCAAGTGAACAAATTTTGTGGATATTTTGCTACCATTGATCGCAATCCAAAGAGCGGCACAAATTTTGATGATCGAGTAAATTATTTCATTAATTTAATATATTAATTGATTTTAAGTTTTAATGGTTAATTTATTCAATTCATATGTTCATTAACTATTAATATTATATAGATTGAAGATGCAAAAAGACATTCCACTATTACGAAGGAATTGATTTCACGCTGGAAGAGGTGTGGAAGATCTTGAGAGCCAATCCTAAGTGGAATGAAAAACATAGTAATCAAAGAAAAAAAGGTGTGGAAGTCCTTGCTCCCCCAAGATTTGATGGATCCTTACATGACATTGATAATACTTCGCCGTCATCTACTCCAATCACACCGGGTTCTTCAATTCAACTAGATTCGGGTGGTGAAGATTTAACTCCAGGCACAAATGAAGATGGAGTACAAAGGCCAAAGATAGGAAGAAAAAACATCTAAAGAGAAAGGGAATGACCGTTGATGGGTCATCCACACTAGTGAAAGAATTCATGAAAAAGTTTGAAGCTTCAGTGCAACAACAACTTGAACAGTCTGAAAAAGAAATTAAGAGCAAAGAGGAGATGCATCGCAAGGAACAAGAACTTAAAGAGCGTCTCCTTAATTAGAAAGATGAATTGCTTCATCAACAAGCCCAAAAGATTCGACAAAAACAATGGCTAGAAGAGAAGGAGATCTTAATGAAGGATTTTAGAGAGATAGAATCTCACCAAGTCGAAATGTTTCGTAAAATGCAACATGACATTTGGGAGAAATGACAACAAGAGGGCACACTACCATGATTTGGAAAAGCAATTTTGTGCTAACCTAGATTTTTATTTAGTCTTTTAATTGTGTTTAATTGTTTGATTAATTATATTGTAGACTTTTATATAGTAATTGGGAGTTTTGTGGACAATCTAGTTAATGGGGCTTATTAAAAGTAGGATTTTTCTCTTTGATCGGTTTATATCTCTATTTGTGGACAATTGCTAAAGTATATACTCCTTATGAAAAGATCAAATCAAACTTAAGAAAGATTGATTAACCAAGGCCATTGCTTCCGTATTAAACCAACATGAACTTCAAAAAAAAAAAAAAAAAAAAAAAAAAACAAAAAAAAACACGAACTTCAATTTTAATGCTACAAAATCCTCAATGGTTCATATAAAACAAATAGAGATGTAATAGATTTAGAGATGGGTTTTTAGTTCTGAGTCTGGGTAAGCATATGTTTGGAATTCAGATTCATACATCCCACATTTTAGAATATTGGAAGTTGAACAACTACTTTAAAAAATTGACATGAAACTGGTATAAAATTAATTGACCAAAAAATGATAATTACTTCATTATTTTATCCTAAATTGCAATTGGTTCTGGGAAATATACAAATGGACTACTTAACAGATGGCATAAAAATGGCAATTTAGGAGTGTCGCAAATCAATTCCGGACAACTACAAAAGTATTGTTATGTCTGCTTGCCGAAGGGGTTTTTTATCTCTTTATCTCAGGAGGGAAAACTGAAGATTGTAGGACCTTGAAGAGACTTGCATTACGTAGTTTGACAAACTCTAAGTGGGTGCAATAATACAATATGCCAAAGAAACTGGTAGCAATTGGAACCATATTAAACCAGAAATTTTTGTTTTTGAAATTCAAAGAATTACATTCAAAATACTAAACACAATTAATCATGAAATTACATTAGTATTCCATTGCCGTATTGAGTCCAGATATGCTCGATGAGGTCAATATTAAGGCTATCATGAAGTGTCGTGTCACGAACCTTCATTAATTTAGCAATCAACGTTGCTGTAAGAAAATTTTCATCATGTTCCACTTCCACGGTTTGTGGAGCCTCATTTGTAGCGGGTTGCCATGCTTCAATTTCTTCATCACGTTCATCTTCAACAATCATATTGTGCAATATAATACATATTTTCATAACTCGAGCTAGGTCTTTTGGATTCCACATACGTGCCGGGACTTTGACAATAGCAAATCTTGCTTGCAAGACCCCAAATGCCCGCTCGACATCTTTCCTAGCAACTTCTTGAACTTTAGCAAACAAGCAATTTTTTGGACCAACCGGTTCAGCAATTGTTTGTATAAGAGTGGCATAGTTGGAATAAATTCCATCAGTGAGGTAGTGGCCCATAGTGTATTGATGATCATTAACTACATAATTACAATGAGGAGCCTTACCATTGATAATATTGTCAAACAACTGAGAACGGTCTAATACATTAATATCATTATGTGTACCTGACATACCAAAGAAAGCATGCCAAATCCATAAATCCTTATCAGTAACCGCTTCTAAAATTAAGGTAGGGGCATTGTGTGGTGCTCCGGAGTGTGTTCCATACCAAACAGTTGGACAATTTTTCCAAATCCAATGCATGCAATCTAAACTACCAATCATCCCTGGAAAGCCTCGTGCCTCCCCTTATGCAAGGAGACGTGTTATATCGCTTTCGTTGGGCCTCCTCATGTACTGATCTTCATATAGACCAATGATTGCATCATAAAAATGCTTCAAACTCTCAATTGTCGTGCTCTCTCCAATCTGAGTGTAGTTATCAAGGTTATCAGCTGAGTAACCCAATGCAAGCATTTTAATTGATGCCATCATCTTTTGTAAAGATGACAATCCTTTCCTTCCAGTAGCATCACAACGTTGCTTGAAGTATGGTTCGTACCTTTCAATATCATGAAGGATGCGAAGATAAATCTACGACGAAAATAATATAATGGGTACTTTGCATTGTCTACAAAATAGTTTGCCCATATTCGATCATGTGCAAGCTCCCCCTAGCAGCTATAGGTTCTCCTCCCCGGTACAGATCCTCCATGAAGGCATTTTTGAAAATTATTTTGTTCTTCCTCGAGAAGCATAGGCAGAAATGGTGCTGCCATCTTCGTGATGTTGCATAGACATCTCAGACCAACGCTTTCCCCATAGTAATAAATGAAACTATTTTCAAAATTGTCATCCAAATCATTAAAATCGTCATCATCATCAAACCAGAATTCAAAACTAGAAGATGAAGACATGGTAGATAAGGAATTTAAAACTAGAAGATGAAAAACACGGAACACACTTAGAAATTGGTTCGATGTTTCGACGCTGAGATGGAACAAATTTAAAAATCAAATTCAAATAAAATAGAAATTTTAAACATCCGAGATGGAGCAGACTTTTATTTTTATTTTTATTTTTTTTATTTTTTTTCCTAAACGGAGGAAATTTTTCTATAAAATGACACAAAATACAGAAGGAGGACTAAATGCCCTTTATGAAACACAAAAGCGTCTGGGTTGGCTAAGAAACTACAAAACAAACATAACCCAATCAACCTTGAAATTTGTTTCTGCAAAACTTCCTATATCCCTCTCAACTCCAGGAACATCAATAATTAAAAGCCTTCAAATAGGCAAGGGACGAACAAAGAAGACCAAGTCTGACCCAAGGATAACAAGCATTGATACCCACGCCCCACATAGGCAAACCCACACCACCAAAACCTTTGATTATGTAGTTAAGTTAGAATTTGGGGTGGGCGGGAAAGGTATGCTATTGGCGGGATGGGAAAGTGAAATTTAGGGGGAAATTAATTGTTTTTTTTTGTAATTGAGGGGGATTGGGTTTTGAATTTTTTACATACTGGAATCTTGTTTTCTTATTTGTTATTAAGTTAGAATTATGATGGTGGCGGGAAAAGTATGTTATTGGCGGGATGGGAAAGTGAAATTTAGGGAGAAAATAAAAAAAAATTCGTAATTAAGGGGATTGGGTTATGTAGTTTTTACATATTGGAATCTTATTTTATTATTTATTTTTAAGTTAGAATTCTAGTGGGAAAGTATGTTTTTGGCGGGATGGGAAAGTGAAATATAGGTTATTTTATTATTTATTATTAAGTCAGAATTCTGGTGGGAAAGTTTTCTTTTGGCGGGATAAGAAAGTGAAATATAGAGGGAAATTATTATTTTTTCGTTGATTGAGGAAGATTGGGACTTGAGGTTTAATCGCCAAAAAGTAGAGTGAATCAAGTAGGTTTGTAAAAGTTATATAGGGCCTTGGGTATGACACGTGGTGGGTTATTATTGGAGGATATTTTTTTACACAAAAGGTATAAATAACTGTTGGAGCTAAAAATAGGTAGTAAAAATTTTTTGTGTAAATCTACTCTGACACGTCAGATTTACACAAAAATATATACACTACCGCTGTAGATGTTCTTACACTTTAAAAAATGATCACATTGTCCCAATATTCATTTCTAACCCATTAACCGGGTAGTGAAATGACAAATTTGACCTTACCATTTAATATTAAATTAAAAATTTTAAATTATTATTTTAAAATTACAAAAATACCCTTAATGTTTTCGTGTTTTCCCTCTCTAAAACTCTCAAGGTTCACCCTCTCTAAAACTCTCAAGTCTCACCCCTCTCTAAGACTCTCTCTCTGTCTCTAAAACAGACCTAAAACCAAAACCACCAGCCAGCGCCAAGAAATCCTTTGTTCGTTTGCGCCTAAAAAAGGACATTGTACCAAAGCCTTATTTCTTACTAGGCTTTCACATGATGTTCATAGGTAGCGCTTATCTCTAATTGGATTTTCTTTTCTAAAGGTGTTATGATTAATGGATCACTCGTTGTGAACTACCGTGTATCAACGCCGGGTAGTTTTCTTACAACTGCACTCATTAGCCACACTGTCCTGAAGCACTCTGCAACACTTGGTCTGAATATTGCCAACAACTCACCCAAATTCAGCGACCCACTGCATGAAAACCAACCTAAAGGTCGTTGCTCTATGTTACATTAACCAGGTCACTGGAGTAGCGACCTGTTATCCTTCTCTCTTTGACATATATTGCCAGAGTTAATGGATGTATATGTGGTCGCTGCTCTTTATTCCATTAACCAGGTCGCCGAATGGGGACCTGTTATCCCCCTCTCTTCGACATATATCGCCGGAGTTAATGGATGTCTGGTCCTGCAAAAAACAGCTATCCATCTTCCATTAATTATACTGGGAGCAAACTTTGGTTGTTGCCTTTCTTCTTTAATCACCGGGTCGCCAGATGGCAACCTGGTTTCCATGTCTGACCAGTTAACAGAGTTGTGAATTGACAAATGGTCGCCCTTAATGTCTTCGTCGCCATCGGGTAATACAAACAGGTTGGACATGGATATTGGGGCAATGTGATCACTTTTTAAAGTGTAGGGGTTTTTTTGAAATAGGTTGGGAGTTTATGATCAAAATTTGAGAGTAGTAGGATTTTTTTGAGATTAGCACAAAAATAATGATACAAATAAAAATGGTTAATAATACCCTAAGTCACATAAAGGAATTCAAGAGCACGAAAATGGTAAAATTTAAGTCACATGGAATGGGAATGAGAGCGAGTGTACACACAAATTTTATATCTGTAAAATAAAGAACACAATAAGGAACAAATAATCAATTTTATTAATATTTGATAAGCGGGTACAATTCTCTGTAATATTCTTTACAAAGAAAGAATGTCCTTTGATTTGATCTCCTAAATCTTCGATGCAAATGCTTCAATATTTGATGTTGAATCAGCTGCAACAACTTTCTTCAAATCTCCGAGAAATGAAGGAATTTTGGATTGATTTCTGATTGAGAGCCGTGGAAGCTTAATCTTAAACGGTTGAATGAAAAAATTTGAATAGGGCCGGGACTTGTAGAACGTGCTTATAGTCCTTTGTATTCAAAGTGTTGAGTCTTCAAAGCTTTAAGTGGTGAATGGGTGTAGAATTCAACAGAGCTTTCTTCTTCTCTTTGGATTCCCTTTTTCCTTCCCCCTTCACTTCTATTTATAGACTTCATGAAGGGACATAATAGTAATTTGAGACACTATGGATAATTATCATAATTATAATTTGAATAATTATCATAAGTGATAATTATCCTCAAACATATATATATATATATATAAGAATAATTATAATTTTATTTAACTAACCTAATCTTCAAGTGGGCCTGGTTAGTTAGCAATTTGGAATTGGCCCGTTAAAGTAGGTTGGGTCAATTGAGTTATTTGGATTGATCCATGACCCATATTTGGTAGTGGGCTTAGGTTGTTTGGTTAACCGCCCATAATTTAAAGTGACCTAGATTGATGGTAAGCCCAAATTATAGCTTAAACCCATCATGTGAATTTTTCAGTCTCTATAAATTGCCCCCACTTCAAGTCTCAGATTTGCTCATACTTGCTAGGTGCAGAGGGCTAGACTTGAAGATGATTTTGTTTTATTTATTAATTTTTTTTGTTAATCCGAACAAATCAAATTAATAGCCCCCAATGTACATGGTTTTGTCATACACGGATTAGTTAGTAATGATATGGATAGTTTAGTTAAACAATGATTCTAAACCATCATTTTTTTTTTTTTTTACAACATTTGTCTTCTTTCAAATACTTAATAATATAATAAAAGAATTGTACATGCAAATTTGGAATGCGATCACCTGAAGACAAAATCAGCCAACTAACCATGCATTACATAACAACTGCTAACAACTCCTCAACAAAGTCTACTTGTGATATGAACTTGATTTATCCGAATTTATTTGAAATGTGGCATATCCTTAGATGGACTCCATCTCTTTAGGATTTCAATACCCCTTAGGATTGCTTCCTAACGTCTTGAAATTATCTCCTTCACAATATTTTTTAAACGCAGATGCAAGTGAGTGTAAGAAATATCAAGAGAACTTCTGTATAAGGAGACCTCTATCTATATACATCCACATACATATATATATATCTGGGTGATGAGGGAGAGAATTGCACACACGTTGGAGAAGTCTCAGGTATGTAAAACGGCTTGCTAGCTGTTTATGCCTTTCATTCTTTATATATGTGTGTGTGTATTGGTGGTTGTTGTACCCCGACCTAAAGTTTGTGCACTAAAAGATAGTAGTGTAGAGCTATGATGAATGTGGCTAAATTTTATATTTAGAAATTGCCACTACTACCTTTCACTAAAAATATAGCTAGGATAAGTAGGGATCGTCCCAAGGGATTGGTGGGTCGTACAAGGTTGAGGAATCAAGATTAGGGTTAGTAGGTCGAGTGATCAAAAGATTGGTTGGTAGTTGAATTATACTAAGAT